CCCAGAGGCACCCAAGACGTTCCAAGACGCTCCAAGAGGCCTTAGGGGAGCTCGATGTGGGGCCACGAAACGCTGTCGTGGGTTGGGGAGACGCATGCGAACACCGCCACAGGGGGCTCAGGTGAAGCTCCCTGTGGGGCCACGAAACGCTGTGCTGGGCGGGGGAGACGCATGCGAACACCGCCACAAGGGCCTTGGGTGGAACTCCCTGTGGGGCCACGAAACGCTGTCCTGGGTGGGGGAGACGCATACGAACACCGCCACGGGGGCCATACATGGAATTCCCTGTGGGGCCAAGAAATGCTGTTCCGGGTTGGGGAGACGCATGCGAACACCGCCACGGATGCCTTAAATGGAGCCCCCTTCTGGGGCCACGAAATGCTGTCCTGGGTGGGGGAGACGCATACGAACACCGCCACGGATGCCTTAAATGGAGCACCCTGTGGGGCCACGAAACGCCATCCTGGGTGGGGGAGACGCATGCGAACACCGCCACTGGGGCCTTAGGTGGAGCTTCCGGTGGGGCCACGCAACGCCGTCCTGGGTGGGGGAAACGCATGCGAACACTGCCACTGGGGCCGTAGGTGGAGCTCCCTTTGGGGCCACGAAACGCTGTCCTGGGTGGGGGGAGCACATGCGAACACCGCCACTGGGGCCGCAGGTGGGGCTCGATGTGGGGGGCCACGAAACGCCGTCCTGGGTGGGGGAGACGCATGCGAACACCGCCACTGGGGCCTTAGGCGGAACTCCCGGTGGGGCCACGAAGCGCCGTCCTGGGTGGGGGAAACGCATGCGAACACCGCCACTGGGGCCTTAGGTGGGGTTCCTTATGGTGCCACGAAACGCCGTACTGGGTGTGGGAGGCGCATGCGAACACCGCCACTGAGGCCTTGGATAGAGCTCCCAGTGGGCCACGCAATCCTGTTCTGGGTGGGGGAGACGCATGCGAACACCGCCACTGGGGCCTTAGGTGGGGCTTCCGGTGGGGCCACGAAACGCCGTCCTGGGTGGGGGAAACGCATGCGAACACCGCCACTGGGGCCGTAGGTGGAGCTCCCTTTGGGGCCACGAAGCGCCGTCCTGGGTAGGGGGAGCACATGCGAACACCGCCACTGGGGCCGTAGGTGGGGCTCGATGTGGGGGGCCTCGAAACGTTGTACAGGGTGGGGGAGGCGCCTGCGAACACCGCCACTGGGGCCTTAGGCGGAACTCCCTGTGGGGCCACGAAACGCCGTCCTGGGTGGGGGAGACGCATGCGAACACCGCCACTGCGGCCTTAGGTGGGGCTCCTTATGGTGCCACGAAGCGCCGTACTGGGTGGGGGAGACGCATGCGAACACAGCCACTGAGGCCTCAGGTGGAGCTCCCTATGGGGCGGGCCAGTGAAACGCTGTGCTGGGCGGGGGAGTCGCATGCGAACACCGCCACTCGGGCCTTACGTGGGGCTCCCTATGGGGCCGCGAATCCTTGTGCTGGGTGGGGGGGGACGCATGCGAGCACCGCCATTGAGGTCTTCGATGGGGCTCCCTGTGGGGCCACGAAACGTGTAAGGGGTGTGGCGACATTGGTGGCGATGATGGTGACGATAACGGTGGTGATCATGACGCCGATGATGATGAGGACGATGACATGGCGATGACGATGATGATGCTGCTGCTGCTGCTGCCGCTGCTGATGATGATGACGATGACGATGACGATGACGATGACGATGCTGATGATGATGATGATGATGATGATGATGATGATGATGATGATGATGATGATGATGATGATGATGATGGCGACGACGACGACGAGGACATGCGCAGGGCAGAGGCAGGGATGGGAGGAGGGAGGAGGGGGAGGAGAAAGGAAGGAAGGAAGGAACGCGGGGACCGTCTCTTCAAAACGAGGACCCAACACCACAGGATGGTTGGGAAATAATAGAAACATCCCCCCATATCATTTTGGGACTATTTTCGAATATTCCTCCTGTAGAGGGACAGGCACGACTTACACCTGGTGCAGAGCGGGTGCGTGGAGAACGTCGAGAATCGGATCCGGCATGCGGGCTTGCGCCAGGCGCTCGGCCGCATCACACAAGGTTAGCCGAAGATAGCGTCACCCGCCACACAGAACGTGGTGCGCCCGCGCACGGGCCCTGGCGGGATCGCCGCAACGCATCCGTCGAATCGTGTCCGTTCATCCGTACGTAGCTCGGCCCGCAGCTCGAACACTGAAATTTCTCCAAGCAAAGAAGGTTCCTCTGGCCTGACATCACGCTCTCTCGAATCCCGTGTGAGTTCGTGTGCGCGTAGCGTACGTCCTCGCTTCGCTCCTGTGGCAAAGGGTCACGACGATACGCAGCAAGGGCATGATGTACGATCTTTCATTGCAATATTCGCGAACATGTGCAACACACCAAAACCGACATCAAACTTGAGACTACGAGCCACGTGAGAGAGGCCACCACTGCCTTTACGTCCTTGTCGAAAACGTGGCCACGGACAACACGCGCATCCTCTCTCACGCTGACATGCGCTTCAGTGCCTGAGGTGCAACCCTGACGAAGATCCTCCTCCTCCTCCTCCTCCTCCTCCTCCCCCTCTTCCCTCCCTCCTCCCCCTTCCGCAATAGCTCCTGGGGCACCCTGGCAATGGCGCCACAGCCTGCCATCCTGAGGTTGGCCGAACTCGCGCCCTGTCGGCAGAGGCAGGGCTTTTTGGCCTCCCCGCGCGCCCTGCTTTCGCGATGGAGGCTCGGCGAGCATACCTGTCCGAATTCAGCGCGGGTCGTTAACTAATTTGCAGCTTGGCAGCGGTGCGGCTGACAAAGCTTCGAGCCTAGGCAGGCTGAGCCTTCCAAAGCCGTGCGCGGAATCGTAATAGTACACCTGTGTGGTAGGACGGCGCAGACGGTGCAAGCATGGCATGTAGAGAGCGATGCGAAAGCGACCGCCGTACGTTGCCCCCCTCCGCACCCAGCGAGAAAACGCAGACGATGACCACGCGCCTGCTGCCCACCATACAAACACGGATGCCGCCGAATGGGCTCGTGTGCGGTCAATCGTGCAATGATTGTGTGTCTTCGCTATGCTCCGTGACCTGCTTTCATTGGTGTTGCCTGAGAGGTCGTGCCACTCGGACCTCTCCCAGGGATGCGTCTTGACTCGACTTTTAACAAGAATCCAGCCTTGGCGACGAGAAACTTTCCTACTGCTCAGAAGGAATAATCACGTCAAACGACTTAGATCATCGATCCTTGATCCTCGGAACCTTGATCATCCTCTTTTTCCTCCTCCTCCTCCTCCATTTACGTATGGCGCCATGGTCATACCTCCCCGCAAGGCGCAGCCCATGCCTAGGAAACAGCACGCTACATCGACGAAGCGCGTGCGTTTTCGATCGGACGTGCGCTTCAAGGTGTTCACGAGTGCATCGGTTCTGGCGCGGAAGTAGACTTTCATCGTCCGCGTTACCAGCCCAGCAGAGGCGAAGGCGTGGAACCCGAGTCACGACATGCCCCCCAAACTGCCCGAAATCGGCGCGTTCCCCCGAGACGCTGGCCGCAGCATCCCCGATCTGGCAGGACTCGATTGAAATCTGGGCCAGCGCCCATTTTACATTGATTCGCACCTGTGCTCGTTTCGACGCGACCCTGGCCCTAGGATGGCTAATTACACTGGGTCAGGAGTCGATGCGGAATCGCTCGAGATCTGGGCACTGACATCGGACCTTCCCAGCGGACTTTGATATCAGCAACGTGCAGATAAGGCGAAACGCCCCTCCCTCCCTCCAGACCTGGAACTTACGAGACCCACTGCCCCTGGGAACCGTCGAATACGAATACTTAGACAGACCTCCAACAATTATGCGAACTGTTCAAAACCTCCGAAGCATTCGAAAACCTTGTGCTTCCTCCCTCCCCCCTTCCTCCTCCTTCCCCCGCCTCCTCCTCCTCGCCTGCGTCCCTGTTGACACCCATTCAGGGTAATGAGGAGAAGGAGAGGGGCGACCCCAGCACATACCACTGATGCTGGACCACACCCGCCCGTTCTAAGGTCCTCCTCCTCACATGTCCACGAAGGCACTTCCTGCCGGCGAGCGCCGCCAAGACAAAATGCTAGGGCCCTGTGCACCTGCACGGTGCGGGGAGGCGGGGGGATGGCGGAGATGAAGGAGGCGGGAGTTCCGGTGGAAGGTTGGGTCGGCGCTTGGATTTGCGTGCAGGTCCAGCTGACCAACTACATTCACGCGGACTGCTGCTTCGTGACCAAGCTCGGCATCTCGCTTCACCGCAGCCCAGCACGAGGCCGTCCAGCGCACGGAGGAGGCGGCCATCGACCTGTGCTCGAGACGGGGTAGCGGTAAATCCAGTCATCGTGTTACCGTCAAACGGGAACGCCAAAGAAGGAACGCGAGGGGGCCTCCCTGGCCAGTGGGCGAGCCTCGGTCACGAACTGGAATTAGAAGCGCCGCCCGAGCCCAAAGCGGTCCTTACTTCCCCGACTCTTGACTGCAGGACCCGGGCGGGTCCCACGCATCCGGGGGCCTCCTGAGGCTCCCGGGAGGCAGCGTAAGGCGGGGGCAGGGCTCGGATCTCGCCGCGTGCTCGACAACCTCCGGACCCCATTCCCGCCACGCACCCCGTTGCCATAATATCGGTGAACGGCGAGGGTTTAGGGTTCGGACCTCGCCGCCGACCGAGGAGACCTCTCAAACGACGCGAAGATCGGGACACAATCGGATCGGGATAAGTCGAAATCTCTGAGGATCCGCGGGTTTGGAAGACGTATTGGGCGCCGCGGCCGCTCCAGAGCGTTCCGGAACGCTCTGAGAGCGCCCCGGAACGCTCCGGAGCGATTCATCCCGATCCTATAGCCCTGTTTCTACCTCCACCCCCGATGCTCGGCCAGGGCACCTGCGCGCAGGAGGGGCGCACGGCGGGCAGCAGGGGGAGCCCAGCCGGCCTCGGGGCTGCCGCCCTCGGCCGCTCGGCGCCGGGCGGGCGCTCTCTCGCTCACGTGGCGGCCTTCGTCAGGCCGGTGGGATTGACCGGGTTGTGGATCGGCTCCCAGTCGAACTCCTGCTCGAGGCGCGAGAGGGGAGAGCGGCGGCGATCTGACGGCGGAGGCGGGAGGAGGCAGCCCTGCTCGGAGGGCGGCGGGGCTTTCGGCGGGGGCTCGAGGAGCTGTCCAGAAGGCAGGGGGCCACCTCAACCTTCTGCCAAGGCTCGCCTCCTCTGCTTCCCCCCCTGGGTGCGCCGCCGAAGGAACGAAAAGGATCCTCAACAGCCGATGGCCCAGTCGGCTGGGGAGACTGGCCATGACCCCAGACCTCTTCGGGTTAGGTCGCAGGGAGGAGGAAGGAGGAGGGAGGGGAGGGAAGGGGAGAACGAGATGGAGGGGGAAGAGGAGGAAGAGGAGGGTGAAGGAGGAAGGGGAAGTAGGATGGGGGGGTGGGGGACGGAGGTAGAAGAGGAGGCAAGGGATAAAATAATAGATGATACGCACGATATGGGAAGAAGAAAACGATGAGGAGAAAAGACTGGGGTAATCTGTACATGCACGCTTTACACCTCTTGACCCCTCCCGGAGCTACCCCATCCCAGTTGATGACGCCAACCGTTACCTGCAACGGTTAACTGAATAAGTCTCTGTCCACGCATAGCGGCCTTTGGAACCCCATCGCATGTACGCATTCACTACGTCCACAATCGAGCGCCAGCCAGGACGCCAACCTCCAGCATCGTGCACAGCCAGCCAGAGGCCAGCAAACGGACGCCGTATTTGGGCGGTCCCCACTGCGGCAGATAGAGCATACCTGAAACAACAGGTTTTCACCGCTATCGTCGGCACCATCGGCATCGTCGGCACCATCAACAACAATGCGCTCATGACAGAGAGCACCCTCCGGCTCCACACGAAGATCAAGCTCCACAGAACGATCAGGCTCCACCCGAACATGACAAGCTGGCTCCACCCGTGGCTCAAGCTCCGCACGAAGACCATCAAACTCCACGCGAAGATGACCCACACCCGTAAACCCACGAATATCAGGACTACTATATGCCTCGTCACCGCACTCATAATGAATCAGATCAATCGCATACTCTTGTGCGTCATCCCGAGGCCGACCAACTTCGTATAGGGACCGTGTACCCCCGAAACCTTACCCGACGATCAGAATCCTCATGAACACCACCCCGAAATACATGAGCACAAGCTCCAGGACCGCCCTCCCCAGGACGAGAATCATCACCAACTTCTCCACGCCAGGTTCGTGCAGCACCGTGTCAGCTCTGGTATCAGCGCCCAGTGGGATGAATCCCACTGCGTCCGAATTGAATGGGAAGCGTGGCGCCGCGAGGGATAGCAGCTGTAGCACGGAGGGAATCCCCATGACCTGCGCAGCGCCGCGGCCGCTCAGCTGCTCCCCAAAATCGCCAGGGGTCAGCCCCGCCTCCGCCCCACTGGTCATGACCACAATGTCCGTGCCAGGGGGCAGGCTCTGCACGTCGACGATGGGTATTCCCACCTCCGCCTCGTCAGTCATGAGGGGGGCTACCTCCAAGTCCACCGTGATCTCCGTCGTCATCATTTCGGAAGTCTTCTTCTTCAGCAGCTCGGACAGGTCGAAAAGACATAGGCACATTCGTAACTCCACTGGAACGCTTGCGAGCCCGACCCGCAACAGCATGTGACGGCAGACTCCGAAGGTGGAAGGGGTGCAGACAGCACCAGAGCTGTACCGTTCCTTATGCCAAGGCCCCTGTGCGGCAAGATCTCGGTCAGCACCGCCATCCAGCTGGGAAAGGTGGACGCATAGAGTCCCGCCCGGTGCCCGAGATGGGGCCGGTCCGTGACCCAACGCAGTGGCGCGCAGCCGGCCCGACGCCATGGGCCGACGGGGGGAACAGGAAGGGAGGGAAGGGGAGGGGCGAGGGATGGGGGCAGCACGTGCCGCCTGGGGCAGCCGCGGCGCGCGAGCTCGTGGAACGGCTTGAGCCCAAACGGCCACGGAATCTGCACAGGAGGGAGAGGAGGAGGAAGAAGAGGAGCAGGAGGAGGGAGGAAGCATTGAGGAGGAGGAGGAGGAGGAGGAGGAGGAGGAGGAGGAGGAGGAGGAGGAGGAGGATAATGAAGATGATGCGAAGGGATGGGGAGGAGGAGGAGGAGGAGGAGGAGGAGGAGAAGGAGGAGGAGGAGAAAAAGGAGGAGAAAGATAAAAAGAAAAAGGATAAGAAAACAAATCATGCGCAGTCGTTGCGGAGGCTTGGGGGGGAGAGGAGGGAACGAACACCATGATGCGAACAGGACGAAGAGGAATAAGGCGAGACCAACTGCCGAGAGAAGAAGATCATCCACAATGCGGGAGGGGAACGGTAGGCAACATGGCACTCAAAACAGGAAGTCTGATCGCACCGATTCCTATCTCATTGAGGAATGCTGTATGGCCGATTTCGGAAACCCTGAACCCACACATTTGTTCATCTCTTGGGGGGCGCATGATCTACTTCCGCCACCTTCCGCCGGCTTCCGCCAGCGGAGGCGGCCTCGTTCTACTTCCGCCGACCTTCCGCCGCAGAAGAGAGGCCAGCTCCTTCGAGCCTCCAAGGCAAGGCCATTTTTGGAACGCCTCACCTGGTACGGACGCATGGCGTATGGGCGGGGGGCAGGTGCACTCAGCGTGCTACGACGAGGCACGCCGAAGCAGGAAAGGAACACACCGTGCTGGCCACGGCGAGCCTCGGCCACGAGACGGCCCTCCGACCCGGGCCCCGCGTGGATAGAGCGCAAGGAAGTCCGATGCGAGAGCGCGACTCCTGCGTAAGTTGTGAAGGAGTCCCGCGCGAGAGCGCGACTCCTGCACACACTGGTGGAGAAGCATCAAGTGGGAGCCGTTGGGGCCCGGAGGCCAGAGACCCTCCTGCGCACAGATCGAAGAGCCGCACGGCCGTCCGCACTCATGCCGCCACGCTCGGCGACGCGCTGAGAGGGGATACGTTCGAGGGGGCGGCCATGGCTTTCCTGAGAAAACATCGTAGGTTTTCCGAGAGGGGAAACCGTAGGAAGCATCATAGGCTCCCCTCGATTTTGAATGACGTTCGTATTCTCGCCTCTTCGGACTGCCGTCAGCTCAACATTGCCCAAGAAACTTCCACTACGGCCCCGAGACTCGGACTCGGACTCGGCCTGCTTCATGCACCGCGAGGGTGCTGCAGGGTGGGGCCGAAGCGCCCAACACATGCAAATAACAATGAAACAAATTCAGCAGATAGTGAGACTACGAAACAAATTCAGCAGATAGTGAGACTACAACGGACAATAACAAGCTGCGTGACGAATGCAACTATGACCTGTGTACTCGCCGGCCGGCCGCTCATGTGACGATGTAGCGAAAATGGATAGAACCAATAATACTGTACAATGTACACGTGTACAGCGTACAAACATGTTTGCACAAGTACGGATGGCAATAAGATTGTGGAGAAAATGCACTTGTAATCGTCGTCGGCCGCCGTGTGGACCCCAAGCGGTGTGTACGCCATAGGTGTATGTCGTGATATGGTGGAGGAGGTACAGGTCTGCACATGCTGGTGCTCGTCGGTCTGCACAAGTCTGCCCATGCTGGGGTGGACGGGGAGGGGGTGGGAGTCGGCACAGGTCTGCATCTGCTGGTGCCCGTCAATCTGCACATGTCTGCACATGCTGGGGTCGACGGGGAGGGGGTGGGAGTCGGCACAGGTCTGCATATGCTGGTGCCCGTCAGTCTGCACATGTCTGCACATGCTGGGGAGGACTGGGAGGGGGGGTGGGAGACGGCCCCGAGACGACCCACAAAACCACCACGAGGGTCCAAGGATGACCTGAGAGGACCCGAGGAGGGCCCAAGAGGCATTCAGGGTGGCGGCCTTTTCAGAAGGATCAGAACGCCTCTGGCCGTCTGAGAAGCGTACGATCCTTGTCTGAATATAAAAACGGCTTCTCCTCAGACGGCGCGATGGCCTGCAAGAAGCTCCGCCGCCGTCTGAGACTGCCTGCCCCCTCTCACTTCTCCCCTCGGCGCGCCGCCGAAATCAAAATCCATGCCGCCACACGGCACGATGGCGCGGGCAGATCCAACGAGAAGCGAACAAATGATGCTCGGCGCAGGCCGCGGCAACCATGCAGTTGATTGAGCGCCTGCAGGTGTATACTATTCTACTCTACTCGTCACGTGGCAACGCTGGGGGAATAAGGAAACTGCACCATTTCAACCGCCCCGAGGAAACCTTTACTCGTCAAATGGCAACGCACTGGGTGCGCTACACGGGCGCTGTTCTTCCTACCTGCCGCAGGAGAATGCATGCATATGGGGACGGGGGACGCACTGTTCGACTCTTCCTGTCCATGGCCACGAACACGGGGGGGAGACATGCTATTGTTCTACAGTGCGCCTCGCGCGGCGGCGCGGAGGGCAAGACAAACTGCCAGGCGAATGGCCCAACACGCGCGCCTGCTGGCGATGCGAGTGGAGCTTCCTACGGGGGCGCGGGGCGTGCGAGGGCCGCGCCGAAACATTGACGGGGAAAGGGGGGCGGCAGGCACGCGAGCGCTGGGGCCGTGGGCGACGTCCCTGGGGGCACGAAGCGTTTGGGCGCGTGCGGCGTGCCGAAATTGGTGCGTTGTTGCATCGCGCCCGCCCACACGGGGAGGAGGAGGAGGAGGAGGAGGAGGAGGAGGAGGAGGATGAGGAGGAGGAGGAGGAGCAGGAGGAGGAGGAGGAGGAGGAGGAGGAGGAGGAAGAGGAGGAGGCATGAAGACACGGAGACATGGAGACTAGCTCAAGGTCTCGAAGGCCTTGCTCGTCACAGCGGGCGCAGACGAACACTCAGGCCTCCTCGAGGCAGTAATCGAAAAGCCCAGGCTCGGCCTCTAGAGTGCCCTTGAAATCTGAAATGAAGCTCACAACAGAAGACGGGCCATCAAACCCATGAAGCCGAGCGACCTCAACATCTATGAGAGGCGCTGGGAACTGCAGACCGTACCCCGACCTAATCCCACACCCACCTCCCGACGAATCAGCATGCTGCCCCAGACCGTCCCGTGGGCCGCCGACGCCGGCTAGCGACGGGAGGCGGGCAGTCCAATGATCTCTCAGCTCCTGGGACGGCGCCTTGAAATCCTCCAGGCGCGAATTCTGGTGGCCAGGGTACTGTCCCTTCCTGAAGCGGGCTCGCTCCGTGCTGAGACCAGGGGCATCTCTCCCCTGGCAGAGCGCGTCGAGACCGTGACCCCTGGAGCAATGACTGCCGACGGAAGCTCCACATTGCATGCAAAACAGAACAGAAGAGCCAGCAGGAATATCGGGACCTCCCGGAGCGGGGAAGACTGAAGCTTGCACAGCAGAATGGCGCTTGAAACACCACGGGACTCCAGCAAACGCAACCGTGCTGGGAGCCTCCTGCTCGGGAGGGGCCGGCGCAGCAGCAGCAGCAGCAGCAGCAGCAGCAGCAGCAGCAGCAGCAGCAGCAGCAGTAGCAGCAGCAGCAGCAGCAGCGGAGGAAGAGGAGCAAAAAAGGCTGTCAACATACGACTCAACTCCTTCCTGCTCGCACTCCGCCAGCAGCATCCTACCCACCGAACTGGCACTGAGGTCCACGACAAGATCCGAGGTCCCAGCAATCCCCTCAGAATCGGAATACTCACACGCCCCGAAATACTGCTGGGCCCTCGCATGCCATCGTGAAGCGGCCAACGCGAGGGTTTCGACTCCTTCGATGAACAGGGCCTGGTGGGGGGGGACGGTCCAAAGCTGGGCTCCTTTCTTAGCCCAGGTGTCGGCGTGCCTGTTGCCCTTCAGGCACCAAGCCTCGTGGTCATCAGCAGCAGACTCAAGGCTGACACGGGCTCGAACTTTATGCGCCTGAGCCTCCCGACCGACCCCCGCCCACCACTGCTCCCAGAAGTGTCGTCGAGGGTTGCTTGAATCAAGCCCCACCCCCGCGTTGGCAGCACAACCAATGGACCCCTTGCAGTCGCTGTAAACCACAAGCGGGTTATCTGGATCTCGCTCGGCGACCTCCGAGAAGACATGAAACACATAATCTTCGCCGTCCCGCGCGAGTTGCTCAGGGGCGAGGTGGGGGGAACGATTCCATAGACAGCACCGATGAGATTCCCCGCTCTGTCCACCTGCACGATGGACCAGCCACAACAGGAAAACCCGGCGAGCGCTGTGCGGTACGCACTGCCGTCAACAAACACGGAGCCCGAAAACCTCCAGCCCACAAGGACCCCAACCCACCGCCTGAAGTGTTCAGGCTGCGGCTCCGGCTTAGGGAAGCACCGGCTGGGGGAGGGGAAAAGACAGCGACAAAAGAGCTCTCCATGCACCTCGCTTTTGCCCCTGACTCTTTTTTGGCCGCCTCCTGGAGAAACCTGGGACACTCTTATCGCCGAATCTGCTGCAGGCAGGGGCACTCGTAGAAACGATGATAAAGAGTACAGCCGGGACGTTGACCTAAGGAACCCTAACTAAGGAACGAGACCCCTTCTTCCCATCAGTCACAATTCGATTTCCCATCGAAAATCTAAGGAACACCTAAGGCAAGCTGTGAAACAATCAAGGACACGGAGCCCCTCCCCAACGAGAAGGGTTCCTTCTTCAGCGCCCCGACTGTACCCCTCATCCCGCAAAGGAGGCATTCATCACGTTGACTCTTCCCGCGTGCAAGCAACCGAGCCTGCGGCCGGTGTGTGCCGCCCACTGAAGAACGCAACACATTCCTATGGTGCGGCGTCCACGTGCCGGACTCCGGTTCTTCTAGCGGGCGAGGAGCCGGAGCCCAGGGCAGCGGCGCATGCCCGGCGCCATGGAGACGCCGAAGGGAAAGCACAGCAGACGCATGCAGCGCC